CCCCCCTTCTTGTCTCCCAGGAATCGACTTTAAAGTAAAAACCATTGAAGTGGATGGAAAGAAAGTGAAACTGCAAGTCTGGTAAGAAGTGGCATGCGGTTGTTTGTCTGCAAACGGTTTGTGATATGGTGAGGCAGATAAACCCTGATTTGTTGAGTTATCTTTCTCTGCCCTCTGACTGCCTCCGGCTCGTTTTCCTGAGAGGAAGGAGGAACCTCCCTCTTCTTGTCCAAATCAGGATTTTATGACAGGGTTCATGTCCAAGTCCATCACACACGGCCACCACAGAGAGCTACTCCATGTCATTTAAGGGTGCTGCTAGAGAAGATATAGCAGCGTCAAATACCAGCACAGACAAAAACACGATTATTTTTTGTTGGTTTTTTGGTCAGATTTGGCCTGTTTTGATTCCTTCTTTCACATCAATATAAAGGAAGTATTTGAAATACAAACGTAAATGTGTTTAATCTTGCTATAAATTCCTTTTAATGCATGCAGGTAATCTGTCTACAATTACAGCAAAGAAACGTATGGATTTTTACAAAACAGTTGCTCAAAAATGATTTTTTTCCCCTCATTTTAGAGCCTAAACTCTCCTTTTCAGCAGCACCTACAGACACCAATCATTGCTGAGCGATTCTCTTTATTCTGCTGTTTTTCTTCTTGTTTTAAAGAGAGGTTTGCTCATATATAATTCAGAACCAAATTTATGGAAGTTTTTTTCTGAATACATGGTGAAAATAAACCTTTTATGACTGTTGACAGATCTTTCTGATTTATGGAGTACAAAAAATGAGAGATCCAAAATCCCCTCTATAAAAACCGTCGGCTCTGGGATGCCAGCAAAACACAAACAAGAACTTTGATCCTGGCTTCATCGAATGTTTACATTTCTCACCTGTAAAAGTTTGCAAAAAAGTTTACATTTATACATTTTGATATTAACACATAGTTTCAGAAAACCTGTGATGCAAAAAAAATATTCTTAGTGGAAGTATTTTAGTGGGAAAATGTATCTGTTAGTGCAAACTTACCCTGTAGCTTGTAGCCTGTAGTGTCTCACCTCAAATGAATCTTTCTGCATTCTGCTATACTCCAGGTTTTTTTCATATGATAGAAGTATTTTAAAGACTTTGCAGCACCTTTTTGATTCTAAGTGTGTGCTTTTTCTAGGGACACAGCAGGGCAGGAGAGATTCAAGACCATTACAACAGCCTACTACAGAGGAG